GCCTTTGAGTCCCTACTTCTCAATGTTTCTAATTCTAACAACCCTAACCAAACATCTTAGGAAATGGGTCAGGGCTAATCTCCTCTGACCAGTTCCTGTTGAGTGACTTACTTTAATCCATAGCTTCTATGAAGTTAATGGAAGTATGTTCTTGGTGAACTTCCTGTGTTTTTTTAAATTTATATCTTTTGTTTTTGAGATTATAAAGTTATTGCATTATTTTCTTTTTCTATTTTCCCCCTCCAAACCTTTCCATATACTATACTAACACTTGCTCTTTTTCAAATTCATGGTCTTTTGTTTTTACACACACACACACACACACACACACACACACGCACACACACACACGTTTTTCTTGCTCTTCGCATTCCTCAGTTGCAGGTAGTTCTTTATGCAAGGTTGAGGACTCATGTGAGATTTTCCTTGTCCACTTTATCATGTCAAGGAAATGTCTTTTTGCATCAGACGGATGCCATCAAAGAAAACCACAACTAGTCAAAATGCAGAACTGTGAAGCTCAGTCCCAGCTGCCATATGTGCTATACACCTCCCACACCTAAAGCGCACAGACGATTGTGAAAGAGAAACGAAAGATTGTAAGAGCAAGTGGATCAGGAAGTTTGTGATGAGATTGTCTTCTACGAGTAAAAGAAGCTCCACTCATAAAACCTCGCCAACATGACTGCCTAAGCAGCAGTAGACATGATTATTTTGTTAGTTCCTAGCTGTGATGGTTTCTGAATGTTTTAAGACTATAAATATATTTTTAAGTGAAGGTAGTGCTGTTTAGTAGTTATTTGGATATACTTAATTCAAAGTATGGGTTATGTACAGATATGTAAAGCTTTTTTTTTTTTTTTTTGGTACCAACTACTTTAGGATGTGGCGCCTTCTCTGGAGTGTGGTTTACCTACCAGGTGTCATACCTCTCCAGGTAGCTATCAAATGCCAATAGCTCCTCAGGCAGATGTGAGATGTCCTCCCCACATCCCCTCTCCATGCTAAGATTTTGTCTGACTTGAGTTCACACAAGTCATTTGCACAGCAGCGCTGCTATGTTCAGAAAACAATGTTTTCTTGAACTCATCTACTGCTCTGGCCCTTAAAATATTTCTGTTCCCCTTTCCATAAAGATCTATGAGCCTTGGGAGGAAGAGAAAGATTTTTTTTTTAAATTGACAATAGTCTTCTCTCTTACAATGCATCCTGAGCACAGTTTCTCCTCCCTCCACTCCTCCTAGTTGCCCCCACCTCCTCTCTCCCCCAGATCCACTGCTCCTCCACGTCCTCTTCAGAAAAGAGCAGGCTGCCAAGAGATGGCAGCAAAACAGGGCAAAATAAGGTACAATAAGACAAAGCAAAAGCTCTCATGTCAAGACTGACCAAGACAATCCAATGGGAGGACAAGAGTCTTAAGAGCAGGCAAGAGTCCAAGATACACCTGCTGCCACTGTCAGGAGTCCCACAAGAACACCAAACTGGCCATCATAATCTATATGTCGAGGACCTGGTGCAGTCCCCGTGCTTGCCACTGCCACTTCAGTGTCTGTAAGCCAAGATAATCCCGGATTAGTTGATTCAGTGTGCGATGTGATTCTTAAAAATTTAAATACTGGTCACTGAATGAGGAATTGCAACATATGTCTAAGCCCCCTTATACTGTTTGGAGAAGGAGGAAGAAATGCCTGCAAAAGCAATCCAGAACAGTTTTGGGCTGTGCAGCCTGAGATAGCTCAGGGCTGAAGATGTATATCTAATAACCAGGATTTGTAAGGAAGTGAAGGGCAAGCATATGTGCTCAATTATGTTGACTTGGTGATTACCTTGGTAATAGAGTCACATGATATCCTTCAAATTTTGGGTGCGTGTATGTTTTTTTTTTCCTTTGGATGCACTGTAGTATACAGGAGTCAGACATACTTAACTGTATGGCTATCTGGAAAACTGCAGAGGCCATTCCTACAGATAGCAGGAGTTCACCTCTGCCACGGACCACCTTCCTCATGAAACCATCTCTTTACCGAGATAATGTTCTCACTGCATCTCTATTTCCTAGCAGCTCTCTGTAGACTTCACCCAACTGATAGTATTGAATCATTGGTATGGGCATTCTGAGTCTTGAGTTTTATATAAGCACAGGGATTTTGTAGTTTAAGGCTGAGCATCTCTCATGTGAGCAATGACGGGGGCAGAGACTTCTGCTTTCTTTAATATTACACTGCTGCTTGCCAGAGTAGGGAGAAATGTCATGTGAAGGAAACCGAGAAGACTTGGGTAGAATGTGAGCACTGTGCAGAAGTGAAGTGCTTAGGGCTTTGCATTAGGTAAGCAGAATTTCAGTGAGTTGAGATCAGCAGATTTGCGCGATGTTCTGGTAAGCCACTTCCCTCCTGCAGCCCACTCATTAATTTTCGGAAGTCTGACAGAATGGCTAAAAGGATGATCAATTTCAAGTGTCACTCCTGGCTTGTTTTTAGCCTCCTGCGAAAGGAGTTCCTGACAAGCAGCCCTGTTAGTGCCCTCAAAATGTCTCTTGGTATTAAATATTGGGAATAAGCTGAAATAATGAAACTAAGATTTTTATGTCACTGGAACTGTTGATTTAGAAGATGATGAGATTAGGATGTATTAATGACTTGTAGGTGAACCTGAGCACTCAAAGCATCAAGACTTCCATTAATAGACTTGCTTGAAACATGGGGAATATCCTTGCTCTTGTGGCAAGTGATTGTATGACATTGTTACCTCCTGGGAAAACCTCTGGTTCTCCCTTCCTGCTTATCATCTGGTGTTATCTAACTTGACAGTTTATTTTATTTTTTTGAGATTATAAGAACATCACTTTCTTTTCCCTTTTCCTCCCTCTAACCCTACCATGTATCCCCCTGATCTTTTTCAAATTCATTGCCTCATTTTTCTTTAAATGTTGTTACATGAATGTGTGTGTGTATGTGTGTGTGTGTGTGTGTGTGTGTGTGTGTGTGCAAATAACATAACCTGTTTGGTTTATATAAAGTTACTTATATGTATATAGATAGACAACTCCTTTTCTTTTTGTGGTGGTCCTTGAGCTGGACCCAGGGGAGTGAAGTTCTAGGTGGCACTGCATTTTCCTCCTTATTTTTTTCCTCCCTGTATTTTTATCCACTCAACATTTTTCCTTCTTTGCTAGATGCCCCCTTTCTTTCAAGAGCAACTCCGAACCCTGTATCACCAGGGCAAATTATCGGCAAGGCTTACCTACTTGGGTGTCTATGGCATCTACTGATGTTGATTTACCATCATTTTATCTTAACATTTGACCAATTGATTTTATTTAGAGTGCTCTTGGTGAGTGAAGGGGGAGAAAGGTATCAAGGAATCCAGTTGTAGAAGTTACGTTATAAAATCTGAGAACGTTCCCATACATGTCCTTTAGATAAGAATCACACTATGTGGCTCTGTGTACCAATAAATGACAGCAGAGATGAACAACTGCTGGCAGAGGGTTAGATGGTTCAAGTACACGACAAAAGCAGCTAAGGGCTGGAAGACTAGGAGACTATGCAGCTATTCAACCCCACTCATACTTCTACCCTTCAGGAATATGATGACATATGTAATTCTTGATTTGATATTAATATTAAAAAAGTTGTCCTGACAGGAGTTGTGTGGGTGAGAGAAAAGGAGGGGAAAAGAAAGCAAACTAATGAGAGCCAAAGTAAAGGAGAGAAAAAGAAAAGCCATCTGTGGTCTTGGGTACTGTTGCAGCTTGTTTTGTGACTTCTGCCATAAACACTATAAAATACCGGAGACAGAATGCCGTACTTCGGTCACACCTGGGAAATTTAATGTTACCACAGTGGTCTGAGAAGTTTGAACACAACCACTTTTCTAGGCGAGTGTTTACCCACTCAATTAAAACTTGATAACTCACCAGAATGCTAAGCTCTGAGCTAAGACTGGAAACAATAAACTGACAAATTAAAGAGCATCACCTGGTGCTGCGATACACAGTACCATTCATTTATAACACTAATGGGGCTAGAATCTGCCTATACCCAATCCAAGGCTGCATTCTATTTGCTCTTTTATTGTCTGCGATAAGAGCCAATGCTGGGCCCAGGAATCAACCTATCTTCGCTTCCACAGTGATGGGATCTTTTCTTTCCCCATTCCTTTAAGAAAGCATCAAAGACGGAAAGATAACATTTTTTATGCTGATGATTCTTAACAAGCTACGCAAAGTCCTCAAAAATACTTTGCTTAAAATAGTGGTATTTGGAAGGATTAAGGGTAATAGGCCAATTCTATGGGACTATCTGGGTCTATTAGAAGCAAAATAATTTGCAAAAGGCACTTAAAATCACAGCCTATGTTTTATATGCACTAATAGCTTGTTGTTTCATAATGCCTTTTTCTAATTTTGTTTTCTGAAATGTTTTTGCTCTCTGCATGAGTTGTTTTTCCTTCTTTAACCAGTTAAGAATCATTTCCTTTGCCTTAATAGAGCTGTCAGCCTGTTTCCAGTCATCTTGGCTTTCATCTCTGCCAGGAGTAGATGCGCAGAAAGACGGGTAGAAGACCTGTGTGATGGGGCACTCCCCCTGCGGATGTAGAGTGACTGACTTAGTCAAGTGGAAATGCATGTCAGAGTCTGTGATGGGGGCTTGGGAACACACGGTCGTCGGGCCTGACCCCTTGCCTGGTGTTGGTGTTAAAGGGCTGTGCTCATCTACTCAGATCTGCCGCTCAGATACGTGTCTTCGGGGAGGGCCTCAGATCTCAGAGGCCCTTGTGTCTTTCAACTTTTGGAATAGCCTCAAAGAGCTCACGAGTCATTTCAGTTTTACTCATAATGAGTTTCCTCAGGCTGTTGTTTGGTACCTTGGAAACATACTGTTTGCTAAGCTTTCTCGGGGGTACCAAGTATTCTCTGTTCCTCGGATTCACTGTCCCTTTGAAAAGTGTGGCTCACAGCTTAGTCTTGACCACCTAGGCTCACCAAAATGGCACTCTGTTGCTTGCTTTGGCAACATATCTGTTAAATAGAAACAATACAGAGAAGGTTGGCATGGCCCCTGCACAAGGATGGCACGCAAATCGGTGAAATGGTCCATATTTTTTTAAAAAATGACAATCTGGACATTAAATCATTAAGTCAAAGGTAGAGTATTTTTTTAAATACATTTATTTTTATGTGTGTGGATTATCTTGCCTGAATATATGTCTGTGAACCACATACATGCAGTGCCCGTGGAGGCTGGAAGAGGATGTTAGGTCATTTGGGACTGGAGTCACAGCCGTGAGCCTTCATGGGGGTGCTGGGAATCCAGTCTAGGCCCTCAGAACAGCGACTAATATTTTTAACCACGGAGTCATCTCTCCAGCCCACACTAGGAGTGTTGAGATTGAGGCAGGATTTGTAAACTCTCAGGGTCAGGGTGAGAGTCCTGGACAGCCACGGACTTGCCACTGTGGCATGGTGGATGCTCTGCTCTGCCTCTTGGGGAGCTGGGGCTGTGCATGGAGCCTGCAGTTTTCCAGGCTCGAGACTGCTACCAACCAATGCCTCTCAGACTCACTCGGTGACCTCACTCACTTCAATTTCTTGAGCTCTGTCTGTCAAGCCTGCTTGCCCAGAGGGCCCTCTTTTCTATCTCTTTCTAGCTTCCCATTCATGGGTGCAGTCCGTGTCATAGCAACAGCAGCTGCCCTTGGTCCTTTGCCTTCTGGCTATAGCTCTGGCTCTTGTTACTTCACACACGTCTTCTCCATCTGGTTTTAGGGAGCCTCAGTGCCGTGCTCAGGGTACGTACATCTAAGAGTAAGACGGCTGGGAGAACTCAGTCACCCAGTGAATATCATGTCTTAATGAGGGAATTTTCAACCGGGCTCTACTCCGTGGCTTCCTGTTCTTCCTGACTGACCACCACCCTCCTGCTCTGTGTTTCATTCATCCTCATGTCCTCAAGCGAGACCAGCATTCCATGGTAGACATGAGTTTACCTTGAGCAACTCTAGGCCGTGAAAGTTGAAGCCAGGGCAACACCAAGAGGGCAAACAGGAGGAAAGAATGATAGTAATTAATCCGCTACTAACACACCTCTGTGGGCAGGTGATAAAGGAACAATGGGCTTGGGAGAAGCAGGTGTAAGTCTCCTTCTAGGCTTGCATGAGAGGAAAAATATTCTACTTTATTTCAGATATTGGCTTATAGCTTCTGACACTGAATGCTTTCCTCTTTGAATGCTTCTTCTCCCATTTTCCCCCTTACCAGCCTTAGAAAACCACTTTCCTTAACAACACTGAATTCAACACAGCTATGTTACTTTGGCGGCAAAGCAATCACAGAGCCCCAGTATGTGTGGACATGTGTATTATTCATCCCTGGTCGCTCTTTCTGCGAAAGTGCATTTAAACCCAGTACACGTAAGTCCGTAACAGTTGCTTTGTCGTATTTTGTTAAGGTTGGTAATGTTTTATGTAAAGTCTCTAATTAATTTTCAGAAACGTAGCAGCCTCTACAGTCCTTCTCATTACCCCTGCATGTTTAGAGTCAGTGGGATATTTATATTTTTTGGTGGTGAGCCTAGCCTTATTTAACGGCTGAGCCATCTCTCCATCCCCAGCGGGATATTAAACACTTCCTGACAATTTGCATTCTGCGCCCCCAACTGACTTCCAACCTGTGGCACCTTAAAACCCTGTTCTTTGGAATCTTTCTTTCTCTCAGAGTAGAAAACTTTATAATTAAGTGGAGCGATTATAACAATCTCATCAAAAAAAAATAAATAAATCCTTTCTCAAGTCTTGTGTCCCATCTCCCTTGACCCTCACCATGAACTTGTGGTGTATGCCTGGCTGGCCTGGAGTTTCCTACGTAGACCAGGATGGTCTCAGACTCACAGAGGCTATCCAGCCTCTGACTTCTGAGTGCTGGGATCAGAAGTGTGTGCCATCGTGTTTGGAATCCCTTGCATTCTATTTTTATACAACGACTTGCAAAGCGTCTAAGGGGATATGGCCTGAGGATTTATGTTCGGGCAGCACCGTTTTCAATAACTGTGACATAATTCATAACACAGACTGCAGATTTCTGTGCAGCTTCTGTGAGTGCAGCTTTATCCTGCCAGCGTCTGCTTTATTTCTTCCTTGCTTTTATCTGTGCTCGAAGCTGTGTGTGAGAGAGAGTTCAATGCTTCCTCTTCGGAGGACACGGAAAGACAGGCAGATGAGGATGCGGGGGAGTCTTTGGCTCTTTGCGTTTTCTACTTGTGCAGCCAACTTCCCATCAGTTCAGCCTTCTGATTCCCACGGAACATGAGAGACAGAAACCAGCCTCATCCCTTCAGGATGGAACTGGACTGACGTGCGCCCTGCATGCTTGGGGACGAATGCTCGTCTTTGGTTGTGGAGGACTTTTAAGTTTTCTCGGCAGTAGGACTTTTTAGTTTTCACTTAGAAACATAACTAGTCCTCTCTCTCTCTCTCTCTCCTCTCTGCGTGCGTGCGTGCAGCTAAGGTGCGTCCAGCAGACACCCAAAGGCACAACTACCCTTTGCTTTGTTTTGGGAAGTTGTAGAGGTTCCCGCTGTGCGTGGGAAACTTGACATCTTTACAAGCACGGAGAAACTTTCTTTGTAGTCACGGGATGTGTATTTAAATAAAAGTGGAGCCTTTCTCATAGAGAATAGGGAGAACATTTCTGCAGATATAAAAAGTTCAGTTAGCTTACACTGTAACAGAATTCCTTCATATAACAAGATAGCATTCTCCCTGTGCAGATCAATCTACACTCAAACTTCCCTTTTTAATAGTGTACAAAACAACAGGCTTTCTTTTGCTACTCAGACTTACCCCCCTCTTCCTTCTTTCGTGCCTTAAAGACCTCTTCACAGCAGAGGGAATATGTCTGTTGGAAACTGCTAAATTCACTTGATGTTAGGTACATCCTCAGCTCTATTATTTATATCCTATAAATGACATTATTTTATTTTTAATGGCCAAATAATACTCCATGGTGCCTTTATATGTCTTTAACCATTCAACTGTTGACAGGGACCTATGAAGAATCAATGACTTTGTTTTCACAAATAATGCCACAATAAATGGGATGTGTTAACTTTGGTCCTTCAGGTGTATACCAAAATCTGGTATTATAGCTGGATTATATGATAAACACACTTTCAATTTTTGAGAAAACACCTTAGTGGTTTCCACAGTGACTGCATCAAGTTTCATTCCCACCTGCAGGTACAGAGTTCTTTTCTCTTGTGCATTCTTGCCAGTATTGGTATTTCTTGTTTTCTTGGTAGTAGCTATTCCATTTAGAAACAGAAGGAGGTTTGATTTGCATTTCCATGAGAGCTAAAGATGTTGAAAATCTTTTCATATGTTTATTGGCCATTGCTGTTCTCCTGGCAAGTATGTTCCAATATATGAAAGGGGGGTTGCATATTAAGAATATAACAGAGAGAAATCCTGTCTCAAAAAACCAAGAGAGAGAGAGAGAGAGAGAGAGAGTGTGTAACAGAAGCTAAATAAAAATGTTAATGTTAATAGGGGAAAGGGGAAAATACTATTAAAATGAGTTTTATTAAATTGATTTAATTATATTATGTACATATTAAGTATCATATGTGAAACATTTTGTAATCCTAAAATGGTAGACAAATGTGATTCATGAAACTTAATGAAAAATGAAATAAATAAAATGTGAAATTTCTCCCTAACTCACCCAGATTGAACAATATATTATAAAAATAGTGAGAATGGCATTTTTCTGTTGTTCTGTTTTAACTATGGTTGATATTACACAGCAGTAAATCCCCAAATAAAACTCAGCTGTTACTCTTATTTTCTCTCACAAGATGCCTGTCAGTTGCATTACTTCTCTCATAGGCAGCTATAAAATCTTTCATTGGGAGAGGTCGTCCCATAAATGTGAAAAATTGTCATATGTGGTAGATATTGGGACGGACATGGCAGCCCAGTAGTACAGATCCCTAACCTCAAATACTGAGAATTTCCAATTTTCCTGAACATTTTCAAGGAAAGTTTGGTGATAAAAAGTAATTCAGCAACAACTCTGTTTTTGAAATGTGGAGTCAGGAGGTCTCTTCCCTGCGAGGCCTGGAAGAGATGCCTCGTCCTCTCACCAGACTGTGTACTGTGAGTAGCAGCCAGAGAGAGGACGTCCGTGGGGGAGCTCCCAAAAGGACTAGTGCCTAACCCTCCCCTTGCAACGACTTCCAAATTTGAGCTGAGATTGTAAAAGTCCACACATGGTAGAATAGTTTCCCTTCTGGAAAAGATGCAGACATATTCATCTCTAAAAACCGTGATATATTGTTTTACATGGCAAGTGAAATGAAACAGATCAAGATCCCAGGATGAGGAGATTACCCAGGTTATCTGAACTGGTATACTGCTATGTGGGTCCTTACGAGAGGGATGCAAGAGGATCAGAGCAGTCTAAGTGGTGTGAGGGGACCAAGGAACAAAGAATTCAGGATACCTCCAGAAGCTGAAAATGCCAAGTTCTCCCCCAGGGTCTGTAATCATCACCATTACCACAAGCACACACAGCACTGTTGGTATGTCCACAGATGCTTTAGGGTTTGTGCGTCTCTCTCTCTCTCTCTCTCTCTCTCTCTCTCTCTCTCTCTCTCTCTCTCTGTGTGTGTGTGTGTGTGTGTGTGTGTGTGTGTGTGTGTGTGATTTTGGATCTTGTGAATGTTAGGCAAGCGTTCTATTTCTGAACTATACTCATAGCCCCTGCTACAGACCTCTGATTTTTCTAAGTATAAGATAATAAATTCAGACTATCCCAAGCACTGTAGGTGATATTTGTTACAGTATTAATAGGAAACTGAAATTCCAGGTTCTGGATTCCAGGGTTCCGTTTGATGCTCCTTTATGCTCCTTTATCTAGTGCTGTTCAGTGATTTCCATAAACTCAGCAGGAGGAATAACAAAGGCAGCTCCAGAGAGAAAGGCTGCATGTGACTTTTAATGAACTCAAGGGATGTTTCTGTATTGGTTCATTTATTCTAACAGATTTTTTTATTAGAAGGGATTTTAGTCTAGCTTAGCACACAAAACATTAACAATTTCTAATATATGGAGTCTTTTCAAACTTTATTATCTTCCTGCTAACCTGATTTTTGCAAGATAAGCATTTTCTATTATAAATGAATTAGGTATTCATTATAGAAAATTGGAAGGAGACATTGGAAGGAAAGGAAGAAGCTTTCAGCTTTGCATTTTCAGAGAAAAGTACTTAATGGTCTGGTGTATCTCCTGTGTCTTCTGTGCGGTTTTCAAACTTCTTGCACTAATTTATACAGACACAGCATTGTGCATTTTGCTGCTTCCACATAATATTATTTGTATATTTAGTTTATACTTATGGATTTCTTGTAAGTGTACTTTATTATTATGTTCTAATTTTTAGGGATTCACAAGCAAGGGTTTCTGCATGCAACTGTAAAAAAGTAAGTGTTAGTTAGTGTAAGCACAAAGGTGTGACGTCAAAGGGAAGTAAGGAACTGACAGGATCTGGGGAATCGGAGGACGAGATGTCATCAGGATCAGAGTGAGTGCAGGACTCTGGCCCGCTATTTAGTGTGGCATGCCGGGCACAGCCAGGTTCCATAGGCTCCGTGTTGCTCCCTGCGGTAGGAGCAACAACTTGCCTTTTATCTCAGAGAAACTATTTTGACATCTGCACCCATAAAATTCCATGCGTTGTCTGCAGTTTGAATTTATGGGATTATAAAACTCTGAGAATATAGCCCTCCCCCCACCAGGTGTCTTTTGTACTGATTTGCAGATCACAGTATCATGATGTCATGTCTTGCTTAAAAGTTTCCTAAACGAAGTTTGGAATAAGGGAATCCGTGTGTTTCTTAGGCAAGGTGGTTAAGTGTCATGGTGGATATTAAATACACTCAAAAGCCAAGTGCTCAGTGCTTGTTCCATTGTGACTCTGTTAGCGGGTGGTGGGGACTGGGAGCTGGACCGAGTCAGAGGAAGTAGTTGGTTGAGGACATGTCCTTGAGGAGTATACTGAGTCTGGCCCCTTATGCTATCTCCCGCTGCTCCCTGCCTCTTTGAGGTGAGCATTCTCCTGCACTGTGGTGCATTGACTCACCATAGGTCACAGGGCCAAATGACCGTGGGACTAAATCATCTTCTGAACCTATGAACTCAATGAATCTCTCCTCTCTTAATACCTGTTCTATTAGCGGTTTTGCCAAGAGACTCCGAGTTCACTACCATTGTAAGACCCTTCATCAGATAAAGGTAAACTCTTTCTGGCTCTTTCTGATTGAGAGATATGTAGAAAGAAAAAATGGATTTTGTTTACCTAAAAGTGATATAAGAGATGCCTACCAAGTTTCCTCAAGAACAGCATTTGAGGACAGCGGCATCCAGTCACTAACACTCCCTGAGTCTCACATGTCTCCTGCAAAGGCTGCCCCAACAGTTAAATGGAGTCGTGCATTCCTTTGTCCTACGAGAGCTCATGTCAAGCAGCTCCTGGCCCAGAGGTTGCCAATACATCAGTGGAGAAAGTGGAAGCTTGGGCTGGAGAGATGGCTCAGCGGTTAAGAGCATTGCCTGCTCTTCCAAAGGTCCTGAGTTCAATTCCTGGCAACCACATGGTGGCTCACAACCATCTGTAATGAGATCTGGTGCTCTCTTCTGGACTGCAGGCATACATGTAGACAGAATATTGTATAAATAATAAGTAAAGAAAGAAAAAAAGAAAGTGGAAGCTCCTGGCTTTACTTGGAGTATAGTTTCTTAAAGTTTAAGAAACTGCGACCTGCACCTTTTCAGGTATTGGGGAAGTCTTTGCTGCTTGTGAGTCACTGTTAGAGAGGGACCTTCCAGGTGACACTCCTGCTGTGACAGCACACACCCCATTACCTGTCCTCAGCATGGTGGTTCTTCAGTGATGTTGTGCATATTTGTAGTAGTGGCTTTTGTTACAGTCAATAGTGGGCAGTGATATTGTGACAGGCACATGCAAGAGAGAACTGTTCTCTCTACTCCTATACAAACTACAAGTGAGATTAAATATTACATATTCTTATAGTCCAAGAATGGAAGTTATTTTTGCAGTGTGGATACTTTTTGAGTCTCCTAGAAGTAGAAACTTCTGTGTAATTTGGGAGTTGGTTTTACTGTTTCATTTTTTTTTTAAAGTATTACTCTTCAGACGGAACATAACATACCAGCATCAGTCTGTAATGGCTGTAGGATTTGTCATGACTCTGAATGAGCTGAGGTCCATGTGTTTTCTCTTAGTATTATTCTGAATTAATTTCTTTCTATTTCTTGTTCATTATTACCAGGCAGTTCTGCTATTTTTTAAACTTGTGTTTGCAGCCTGGAGTGGCCATGCGTACCTATGATTCCAGTACTCATGAGGCAGAGGCAGACGCAGGAGAATTTCAACATGAGTCAGGGCCACAGAGTGAGTTCTTATCCCAGAAAATGAAGCAAAACAGCAACAACAGCAAAAATCCTTACAGTGGTAGATGTTTATATCAACTATGGTTTAATTCATGGAAAATAAGAATCAAGTTTTAGCGAGTGGCTAAGGAAGTTTTGTGTCTGGTTGGCATGAGACTGAACATTACACAAATCAAAAAGTCAGCGAAAGGAGTCTATCAGCTATTGCTATAATAGTATACCTACAGAGATAGAGACATAACCTCTGTAAATGTTTGGGGTGTTTCAAAGATTACCATAAAATGTTCTTGATTCAGAATTTATCAATATTTATCAGAATTCTCTTTAACAGGTGAACATCATTGATGTTCTGGGCAGCCAAGAGTTGTCATTCTTAGCCAGTGACATGAAGTCCCCTGGGACACAGACCTCCTTTGAAGACTGGTGAAACATTGACTGGAGATACTTGTGCCATCCTAAGTCTTCCTCAAGGATCCACTTATTCTCCATCAATTAAGGACCCCTTCTTCACAGACATATAATGACCAATAAAGCCTGTGTTGCACACTAAACCTTTCTACACATACTGGGGGTCTTTAATGCAGTAACTGAGGAGTATTTGGTAGCTTGCTCCTTGATTTTGGTGTATTCATCCCCATGGTCCTTCATCGTTTACAAAAGAGCCCACTTCAGTTTTCACCTGAGCCATTCTGGTGTAGTTATTTCCCCATCTTGAGAGCCCACAGATCTTCTGCCAATATCCTGCACACTGGACTAAGGGAAGAGCCACATAATGACTTTCCACTTCTTGTTAGCACTTTTCTAATTGGTGCATTTCTCAAGGCTGAAGTGAATGACGCATCAAATCCCTGTAAAGCACAGAGAGGACAAAGACAGGCAAGTTGCAGATGACTCATCAATTCTGGCATTGCTATATAGTAAGTTCTTCACAAGCACACCTATGGTTTACATTGATCCCTGGCATCTGAATGTCATTTAATGTTGCCAGGCTGTATATCTAGGTTTCAGAAAAGCCATACAAATACTGATTAAAATCACTATAACTTCTTAAATTTGTTAACTCCTACATCTTTGATGAACGTACTCATGGTTAGTACACCTGTGTAAGCATTTACAGAGTTTATTTCTCTATATAATTCCTATGCTTTATATAGGTAGATAGATTTCGTATATATAATAATATATACTATATATGCATATCTATAAACTACGCAGCTTTTGGCACATAATCTTTTTCTTTGAGTGCTGTCCTTGCAACTGTATCACAAAAACGCACTGCAGAATCCCACTTTATCTGTAAGACAGTAGTGGGGAGAAGGGGAGGATAAGGAGAAATGGGCTTCCTTTGAACAACTTCTTCAAATAATTTCATTAATAGAGGGCAATCAGTTATGGTGACGAGTCTCTATGACTGTTAAAGTTCCAAATTATTAGCTGTTTTCAGGTATTCCTTTCTGATTTGTCAGCTTAATTTGCTGCAGTAATAGAATCCCATAGACTGAGTTGCTTGAACCATAGGGATATGTTTCTTACTGTGCCGTAAGCTGGGGAATCGAAGACGAAGTGGATGTCAATTCCTGGGTACGGTCTTTCCTCCTAGTTTGAATATGATTGTATCTTCTCTCTGTTCCTGTGGTGGGAGGAAGAGAGGAAGCAAGCTCTTTGGTAGCTCTTCATAGTTGGGTTCTAATTTCATCACGAGGAGCCCACTGTAGTGGCATATCTGAACTTAATCAAAGCTCCCATCTCTAAATATAATCACATCGGAGATTAGAGTTTTGAGATATAAAACTTAGAGGGAAACGTTCAACTAATCATACCAATTATCTTCAGTAAGCAGTAACTCTGACTTCATCTGTATGCTTCCTGCTTAATGCCCTGCATTTCACAAAGCACTTAGTACATATTAAGTTGAAATATTGTTGTGATTCATTAATTTATAGGATAATCATCAATTATTAAATTTTAATATTATCTAAGTCTGTGTATTATTTCCTCAGTACTCAAGGTTCTAGATACACATTGCTAGTTGGTTGAGCCAGAGTCGTAAGTTTGTATGCATGCGGTCACCACCCCTTCCTCCTTTCCTTCTCTTTCAAATCCTTTTCTGGTGGAACCGAGAAAGTCCAGGTGCTAGACAGACTGTGAAGCCACCGACTTACATCCCTGGCCTCTGATTTCTTAGCCTTCTGAGACTGCCCTTATATCAAAAGGAAGTTTAAGTGTTAAGTAACCAAAAAGACCCAACAGTTTACTGGAAAAATGTTCGGGTATTTGTCTTCATTTTAAAAACTATTTTAAATGGTCTTCTGACAGTGATGGTTTCCATTTAGCTTTCAGAATAGATTGTCAGAAGTAAAGCTTTGCGGTTGAAGGTCTTCATAAGAACTCTAGGATACGTGACGTACACTGTTCATTTGCTTAAGTATTGTGCTGCTCTATTCCACTCTGCCAGCGTTAGAGGGTTCCCATTTCACTGTCCCCACTGCCACTGACCTGACAGAGACATTTGCTATGAATGGTTCATTTTTTTAAATAAAAAGGTCAACTTTTCTTTTTAGCTTTCAGGAAAAACTTAGCATTCCACCAAGTGTTTTCTCAATTGTTTTCTTCACAGGCTTCCTAAGAATTTGTGTAAACAGTAAGAAGGACACAGTGTTGCAGGAGCTCCTTCCACTCCTTTAGCCAATAGCCTTTAAGATACCAGCCCACTTGGGCGTGGTCTCTTTTGCTTTAAAAAGCAGCTGTAACCCTGCTCTGGCTCTCCTGCTTCCGGCTCCACTTCCGACTACTAGACTCTGTTCCTGTTGTTGATGTTGTTTTATTTCTTCAATACAGGGAACCGGTTCTAGGGTATCACACTCACTAAGATGCTGGGCGGTTGCTCAGGTCATAGCTCCAGTCCATTCTTCTATTTAACAAATGTTAATTGATCACTTACTATGCACTAAGACTAAAGCCATGGGTCTGGAATATATACAGAACAAAGTTCTGCTCTTGTGAAGCCCTTACTGCAGTTGAGGAAGAGATACAATGAAGAGTGGACCACTTTGTGACATGTAAACCCTTTCATTTCTTAGAAAGTGATAAAGCCAACAAGGAAAAATACAAATTAAGGAGCCTAAGAACACGGTAAGGTTCGATGGTGCCAGCGGGTTTAAAAACTGTATCATTAATATTTTTCATTTGTATATGCAGTGTGCATGCATGTAGGTATGAGTTATTTGCATATGAGGCACATGCATGTACGCGAGTACTTGCACATGCGCACATGCATGTGGAGGCTCCAGGGTGCTGTGAGGACATTTTCCTGGGTTCTTCTTTCACTTGATTCCCTGAGGCAGGGACTTTCAGTCAGGCTTAGACCTAGCTGATACACTTCACTAGCCAGCTTGCTCTGAGAATCTTCTGTGGCTCAAATTTCTATTAGTTCTACGTGAGTCTGCCATTTATATTGGTTCCAGGGACCCAAACTCTGGGCCTCATGCATGAACAACTGTGACTTTAACCGCTGGGCAATCTCCCAAGCCCAGGCCTGTAATTTTAATAGGATAGGAAGTGCATGTGTTATGACAATTTGATATTTGATGAAAGACTTCATGAAGAGGCTGAAGCTGCTCATGCAGATAGCTGGAAGAAGAAGATTTGACCAGAGTCAATGGCTAGGAATAAGATCACAGGCTACAGCAGGCATGCAACGTTTTAAAACTGCAAGAGCAGTTTCCTCTTTCAAGGCTTTATTTCTTTTCTGGTTGCAGCAGTGTAGCTGTTTCCATGGGTCTGGACATAATCATCACCACTTTGGGGTGGAGCAGCCATGATGATTCTCATGAAAATTGCCTCCTGGAGAGTGTGGGGGTCATGAGACTCAAGAGAGTCTCACAAGGCCTCCAATATGGATCCTTGCCAGGCCTTCCCCTCTCTGAGGTTCTAGTAGGCAGACAATTCTCTAGTGTTGGGATTTTGTTGTGTGTCTGCCTAAGAGTCCCACAAGCTCCTGTATGCAATGTCAGTATACTGACTGATTCACCAATTAGGATGTGGATGGAATACTTTCTTTGGTCTGGTGCCATGTCTGCCTGGAATGAACAGGTATTTCTTTATACTTCCCCGGGGAAAGTCACAAGAGGACTACTCACCTTAAGGCAGATGTGAACTTCACACACCATGAATTTCATGTCTGGTTATCCATAGCCTCTGCTATGTCTCAGATGAATGTCTAATTCCTTCCCATTTTTCTTCCCATCCTCCCTTCCCTGCACGTGCATTTAGTATCACCTGTTTTTACTTTAGAAATAATCCCAGCTATATGTCTTACCTTATTCAGGAGGAGCAAACATTTTTGCTCTTCACCCTGTCACACAAGAGAGAAGGAATGTTCCAATTATATCATAGAACAGAATAAAACAGGAAATATGAGTTTGGGTCAAGAGGCGAGAACTTCCAGTTTCATGCACCATGGGTTTTAAAAAACAAAATCTAGGACACTGAATGACTAGAGTGGCGGCTATAAAAACCAGCATGCTGGCACAGGCAAATCAGGGGAGAAATTGCTACCTCTGTGCTCTTCTGTAGAAATCACCATGCAGCTATACAGAAAACCTCATGGACTTCCCTCAAAAATTAAAAGTAGAAGGTAGTAATTTGGCTTCTAGTCATGTAATGAAAATAACTGAGAACAAACTCTCAAATAGATATTGGCATGTATATATTTATGGTGAATCTTGATGATTTTAAGATAAGTGGAGTAAGAACGTTAGGGTAAGTGTAATAAGCCAGTCACAAAGGACAGAGATTGTATTTTTTTCCTTATATAAGGTACCTAGAACACTTGGTTCGTAGAGATAGAAAGTGGAAGGCTATTTGCCAGGAGCAGAGCAGGGAGAGGAAACTTTATAATGGGTATAAAATTTCCCTTTGCAACATGAAAGTTTTTGAAAATTGCCTGAACCACAGTGTGGGTGCATGTAACTACTGAACAGACTCTTTGCAAAGAGTGCTGCACAAGTTCCCTGTGCACATGGTGCCCCAAGTGGAAATATTCAGGCTCTCCAAAGGTTTCAGTAGACTTTGCCAACCAGCGTAGGGCTGGTGCTGTGAACCAACAGGCCGGAGGAAGCATCCACACGCATGACCCTGCCTCGCTCTGATCATACAGTATGCAGCCTCTTCTGAGGGTTTGTTCAGCTACCCTGGAAATGTGCTAGTGAGAACGGTATAGGGAGAGAGGTGACAGACAGCAAAGCGTCTCACAGACCAGTAGGCTCATCTGTCTGGAGCTCACAAGGGAAGACACGTCCTTTTGTTTCAACTAGCTTTTCTTATGTTATTACCACACATGACTATAGGACATTTGTAAAATCTAAAAACTTAGTAATACAGACCATAGGTTTCTTAGATTGTTCTTTTCCTACTGAAGTCTCTTTTCTATTTTTGGTAACCATGTTCTGTTGCTGATTTTAGCTTAGGGGCTTCAAAGGCAGTCTTGGTATTTTATTGACATTAATGACCTTGGTGTCTTTGAATAGAGTTTCTCAGGTGTTCTGTAGAATATCTATCCATTTGAGTCTATCTGATGTTTTATTGTGGCTAGAATGCAGTTGTATATTTTTAAAAATTACATTTATTTATTTACTTGTATATGAGTGCCCCTATGGCTGCATGATTTCTGTGGAATACATGTAGAGGTCAGATTATAGCTTTTAAGAGTCAGTCTTTTCTTTCTATCATAGTGGTCCTGTTGATCAAACCCAGATTATCAGCCTTGGCTGCAAGCCCCTTTAACTACAGAGCCATCTTGGTGGACCATGGTGTTGGCGGAGGCTGCTTGTTTGTTTTCCCTGCTGCCCAGACTCCCAAAATAATTACATAGAAACCATATTGTTTAAATCAGTGCTTTGCCAATCACTTAAACATATTGCTAGCTAGCTCTTATATCTTTGGTTAACCCATTTCTATTATTTTATATTTTACCATGGGGTTTGTAGTCTGCTGGCAAGGTTCTGACCAGAGACTTGCGTATTTCTCTTCTGGCAGCTCCATGGCTTCTCATAACTCTACCTTCTTTCTCCTAGCATTAAGTTTAGTTTTTCTGTCCAACTCTATCCTGCCCTATAACAGGCAGTTTCTTTATTCATTAACCAATAAAAGCAACACGTATACAGAAGGACATCCCACACCATTTCCCCTTTTCTGTCTAAATAAAAAGGAAGGTTTTAACTTTAACATAGTAAAATTACATATAGCAAGACAGGAATCAAACAAAAATTACAGTTACAACATTTATATCTATTTTATCTTTTAACATAACAAAGGAAAACTATAACTATCTCTTTATTCTTCAACTCTATCAAAGATAATATTACGTAAGTAAATAGGAAGTGCATTGTAAGCAACTTCCAAAACTCTAGAGTTGACAGAGACATCTCGCTGCTTGGACAGTCACCTAAAGTTTTTTTTATAACATTGAGACACCCATCTCCAGCCTATAGCTGGAAGACTTTTCATGAAGCAGGAAATTTCAAAGACAGTTCTACCTATATTGACAGTTTGTCAGTCCTGCATAATGTCTGGCAAACTCTTTCATGAAGATCATCTGAAGGACCGTCTCACCTTTAGGCAAGTTTAGCAGT